GGGTAGTCGCCGAACCGCTTCCCGCAGCCCAAGCATTCGTACGGCTTCTCGCCCGTGTGGATCCTCTTGTGCCGGGTGAGGCTCGAGCCGGTGTTGAACCCCTTCCCGCAGTACGAGCACTTGTACGGCTTCTCCCCGGTGTGTACCCGCTGGTGGATCAGGAAGGCGGCCCGGCTGACAAAGCTCTTCCCGCAGTCCGAACAGTTGTACCACCTCTCCCCCGAGTGGGTCCTCTCGTGCGCGATGAGGTTCGACCTCCGCCGGAAGGCCTTCCCGCACACGTGGCAGGAGTTGTCTCTCTCGCTGGGCGGGATTATCTGCTGCATGAGGCTCTCGTCTAGGTCCTCATATGTCCCCTGTGAATTGATGAATTTCCCCACTCCTTCCTCCAGGTGGTTCTCATACAGGCTCTCCGAAGCTTCCCCCCGATCCGGACAGTGGGGAGCGTTTAGTTCTGCTCGACCTGACAGCATCCAAGACGGGGCCAGGCCCCCGGAACTTTCCAGCAGGTCTCTCTCCTTCCTACATATCTTCTCGTCATCACCTGCCAGCAGGAACACAGACATGCCAAAGAGAGGATGAACCAGTACAACAGAATAGAACTGGGACCTTTCCCAGTTCCGCAGGGCCTGCAAGACGGAGCTCTTCCGCCAGGCTTTCGAGTAGGAGCCGCCACCACCACTATTCCACCTGTACCCCTATGTCCTGGCCAATGTTCCCTCTAAGTGTGGAGTCTTGTGAACAAAAATTTGACTTTGTGAGCTACTGGCATTAAAGCTGTGAGCGAGCGATTTGGCTGCTGCATAAATTAGTTTGCTCTGAAGCCGTCCGTCCTGAGCTAAGACAAAAATGCGTGAGCTGGAGGCTAAAAAACTGTGAGCTAGCTCACACTAACTCAGCTTAGAGGGAACACTGGTCCTGGCATATTAACACCTGACTGCCTGGCCCCCAAGGGTGGAACGAAGTGCTGGACACGGCTCCGAGGATAAAATTACAGGATGCAGTTATGTGAGGTTAAGATCTCCCCGTCTTGTTAAGTGTGTGATGATATTTTATTGTAATTTATCGTAATTTATTGTAATTTATTGGTTTTAAATTATATGTTATTGTTTTAACGCGGCACACAGTGCCCTTGTTAGCTGCCCTGAGCCTTCGGGGTAGGGCGGGATATAAATGTAAATATAAATAAATAAATAAATAAATAAATCCTTCCCTTTGCCAAGAAGGGGAACCTAGCATAAGATAGCCAGAGTGGTATGGTAGAATCTGGGAGCCCCAAGCTCCGCCATGGGAGATCAGTGGGTAACCTTCGGCCAGTCACACCATCTCTGAGCCTGACCTACCTCACAGGATTGTTGTGAGGACAGAATCATGTAAGCTGCTTTGGGACCCCATTGGGGGAAAAGGTGGGGTATAAATGAAACAAATAAACAAAATTAATAGCATCAGCGTTTTCGCTCAGTACTCAAGGTGGAGGTGAAATGTGTACCATTTCAGACTACAGGTCTCACCAGATTGAATGCTGTCTGTACAAAAACAACAAAAAAATCTTTGCACCTAGAAAACTAGCATGTGGATCTAGCAGTCCTCGCCCAGCCTTCCACTTGACATGCTATATTTCAAGGACCCAGGACGTTTTTCCTCCCCAGGCTGAATGCTGTCTGTACAAAAATTAAAAAGTCTCTTCACTTAGAAAACCAGCACGTAGATCTAGCAGTTCTCGCCCAGCCTTTCCCTTGACATGCTACATTTCAAGGATCAGGGATGTTTTTCCTCACCAGGCTCAATGCTGTCTGTACAAAAACAAAAAAGTCCCTTCACATAGAAAACTAGCATGTAGATCTAGCATTTCTTGCCCAGCTTTCTCCTTGACATGCTACATTTCAAGGATCAGGGACGTTTTTGTACACTAAAGTATCTGATACTCTGAATGCTTCACCATAAAAAAGAGACCTACATATAGAAAGCTAGCTGTTCAGGAACAGGCTTGGCTTGAGCCTGTCTCCCTGGCCTGCTAATTCTCTCAGTGCAGGGAATGTTTGGAGGAGCATTCAACCACACAAGACCCCTCCTGTAGTCTGAAATGATATAGCCTGGACTACCTCACTGCAAACCAGGACTCTTTATCCGTCCAGGAGAAAAAAGTACCCAAAATCCAGGGTGCTCCTCACAGGCCAAGCTCAAAAGAAGCAAAACGAATTAACGGGCCTTGGAGGAACCAGCCCTAGATACATCTGGGCGTCAGCTACTATTCTGGTTCTGCTGGGTCTCTGTTATGTGGGGTGACAATCCAGTTGGTCCCAGGGCAGAATTATCTGAAGACAGTGGCATCGTACAAGAGGTATGGAATGGCCAATTTGGGAGGCTAGGATCTCCCTCCAGTAAACCTCCCCTGAGATCGAGGATGCTAGGAGTCAACTATCAGGATGTGCAGAAGCACCAGCTGATGTTCCTTTTTTCGTCTCAAGAACCAAGCAGCTCAGGCCCTGACCTGGAGAGCCCGGGCAAGCCCAATCTCATCATATTGGAAACGAAGCAGGGCCAGCCCTGGCAAGGACTTGGAAAGGAGATCTCCAAGGAATACCAGGGCCGGGACACAAAGGCAGGCAACGGTAAGCCAACTCTCTGAAACGTCCAAGCCCCACTAGGGGTCTCCAGAAGCCAACCATGACTTCCAGGCACACACACACACACACAAAATACTTGGCAAAAAAAGAAACAAGCAACTCCAACGCGCGAGGATCCTTACCCAACAAGGAGGCCCTTGCACCGCCCTCCAGTGTGAGCCCCCCGACGCGTGGCCTTCGCCAGGGGTCCAGCAGCACCTTCTGTGCCGGGCCTTCCTCAAAGGGAGACATCACCTGCAACAGCAGAGTCCTCAGTCAGTGCTGAACGGTCTCTTCTTCAAACGTCAGCTCCCAGAATTCTGTCTGAACAGCTTGTCACTCAAAGGCTCTCGGACTGTGTTAGGTACTAACACTTGACAGTCCATCACGAGAGCTAACATGGGTGCCCCTCTGCACCCCATACAAAGTTGCCTTCTACCGACTGAGGGGCCATCCTTTCCTTAATAATCTCATCTGGCCAAAGGTCTTGAACCGAAAACCAGTACAACAGAATAGTACAACAGATAAAATATTACAACACCCAGGGCTATTTTTTGGGCAGGAACGCACAGGAATGGAGTTCCGGCTGGCTCCCAAGTTGGCCACGCCCAGCAGGAACTCATTAGCATAATAGGCCACATCCAACAGCAGAAACTCATTAGGATTGGCTACGTTAGGGGTGTGTAGCCTAACAGGCAAAGGAGTTCCTGCTACAAAAAAAGGCCCTGGGTTTTGACAACAAACAAGGTAAACAGAATAACAAGCAAAAGGTGGGTGTGGCTGGATGACCACACTTCTGGCAACATGGGGGTGCGGCCTAATGTGCTAATGAGCTGTGCTGTCAGGGGTGTGGCCCAATATGCTAATGAGTTCATGTTGTTGGGTGTGGCCTATTATGCTAATGAGTTCCTGCTCTCCCGTAAAAATCAACAGACTAGAACCTGTCTTCGTAGCATTTTAAGGGGGATCGATAATGCCAAACATGTGGCAACAGATCAAGTTACTTCTGGAACAGAGTCTGCAAGCGAAAGAGAAATCACACCTAAGATTCAAAAGGAAGCTGATATCTAACCAGGATAGGAACAATCTGAAGATTTCGGGGAACAGTCCATTGATCACAGAATAGGATAAGCACTAGAATCGAGTCCAGTAGGACCTTAAGAGGACCAACAAGATTTCTCAAGTATAATCTTTCAATAGTCAAAGATCTCTTTGTGCTAAAGTGCGAATTGGTTCTGAATGAATAGGAGAATTGCTCACTTACCTTGGTCTCGAAACTAATAAATACCTACGTTGAAATCGAAACACCTACGTTGAAATCGAAACATGCCTACAGTTAATGTTAATTTGGGTTTTTTTGTGTCGTCATTGTCTATATATGAAAGCTATATCCACAACCCTACATGATAAATTGTATGCAAAGTTATTGAAATCTGCTCATAGTAATGTTACTGAAATCTGCTTATGAAAAATTAATAAAAAGAATTTAAAAAAAAAAGATCTCTTTGTCCAAGTATAATCTTTCCAAGTATAATCTTTCAAGAGTCAAAGCTCTCTCTGTCAGGTAAGGGAACTTTGACTTTCAAAAGCTTCTATCCCGAAAATCTTGTTGGTCTCAAAGGAGCTACTGGACTCAAACGTAGTTGTTCTACTGTAGACCAACCTGGCTACCCTCTGAAAACGTTATATGTCAGGTGGTCTACAGTCTCTAATGCACCAGATGTACGAACACAAAAATGATCTGAAGTGTCATTTGAGCAAAGCCTCCCCTCAGTTTTGTAATCAGCAGAACGTTCGGTCTGGCAAGCTTGGAAGCCCGCCTCTGACTGGAGGCTGTAAGAAATGAAGGGAAGGGGGAGGGAGACCATCTAGCTGGAAACTCTAACAGGGCGGGGACGTAGGCAGAGAAAGGCCTTTATTTTCAGCTGAGACTGTGTCACTGGAGATGCTGGGGATTGAAACTGGGCTCTCCCACGTGCCTAGCAGATGTTCTACCACCGAGCTACGGCCTCATCCGTTACACCAGGGGTCCACAGCTTTTTTGAGCCAGTGGGTCCCTTTGGACTTCTGGCACAGCATGGTGGGCCCAGTCAAAATGGCTGCCGCGGGAGGTGGAGCCGGCCACAAAATGGCTGCCGCAGCTTCAGTCACACGGCGAAGCTCCTTGTGCTGTGGGGGTAGCTGCTGCCAAAGCAACAGTTTTAAAAAATCTGCACAGCCAATCAGAAACCCTGCTGGGGGTTTCTAAAAACAGCGGGAGCCAGAAAAGGTGTTGGCAGGGGCTGTCGTGCCTGCAGGTACCAAGTTGGGGACCCCTGCGTCATACCAGTCCTCGAGGAATGAGATTTCCTCGCCCATACCGCGAGCTCTCCCCTAACGGACACCAGCACGACG